ATTTTGGGGTTGTGAGTTTTTTTGTTGTCTTGAGTCATCTGGATTCCTGGCAACTGCCTCGACAAGTCCCTGCAGTTTTCTTGGCCACAGTTTTTGGAAGTGAGTTGCCCCTTTTTTTCTTCCTAAGGCTGAAAGAGAGTGACTGGCCCAAAGTCACCCAGCTGGTTTCATGTCTAAGGCTGGACTAGAACTCATGGTCTCCTGATTGCTAGCCCAGTGCCTTTGACCACTACACAAAACGGGCTCTCTTTTGCTTTTAACAACTGTTTATTTAATATGTAATTGTACCATGGACATTTTATTGGCAAGGTTGTAACCTAAAAAGAGCCTCTTAATTGATGCAGGTGAAAAATTGTATGGCTGAATGAGGGAGTGGGAGCTAAATGTAACTCTGGGGAGAGCGTATTCCATTCCTGGGAGCAATTCAGGAGAAAGCTCTCCTCAAATCTTTGTGTAGTTGATTGCAAACAGGATTGTGGTTTGAATTGCTTGCCTGGGCCACAGGCTTGAAGAAAGGCTCTATGTACAAGAGTAGATGGAAGATGTAGTCCGACACACCTAGAGGTCACCAGGTTGGGAAGACTGAATGTTCTTGCAAGCCAGTCTAAGATAAAGAGACAGCACCACCTACTGGCGAAGGTTTGTCCTCCAAAAATTCTGACTACAGTCCAGTATCTGATCCTGGTTCACAGCAGCAGGTGACCTCTCTCCCCTCGCTTCTCCCCACTGTCTCCAATGCCCATTTTGCTTTCTCCCTCTGGATCTGACATGCACAACCAATATTTGGTAATTATAGCATAGTGAGAGAGAGAGTGAATAGAACAATAGAAAAGAGAAGAGGCAGTTGGACCAGAAGATTCCTGATGTGTGTAAGCATGTAGGTGTAAGTGTGTAAGTGTAAGTGCAAGGGTGTGTATCTGCTCAGATTGTCCATATGTGAATGGATGCATCCAGTGGCTAGCTTTGCACAACACAGTGATCCACAAAGTAGCTAAGCATGTTGTGTAAAGCCCACCCCTGTGGTTAATTCACGATTCAGTGTGTTATGCAGACCGCCCCAAACTGACTTAATTTCATAAACCATGGTTAGGTTAACTATGCATTTAAGCATGTTGTGCAAACGTAGACATTATGTTGGCTGACAGCCATGACTATAGGTAAGTTTGGAAATTTAAATCTAATTTATTTTATTTTATTATTTTTTTGCTGGAGGGGGCCCAGTATAAAACCTCTATTGCTGAGCACCAGCTTATTTTAACCCCCCACCAGGTAATGGATGACAAGATTTCACTGAATGATTAAAGAGATAAAGATGGATTTCTATGAAGTTGCCACAATTAGGAGAATCAAAAATAGAAAATAAAAACAAAAAAACCCAAGCTCTCCAAGGTCACATCTACCCATCTGTTTGCTTTATTCCCAGGCATGAAGAGCCAAGCTGAAGAATACAGGCATCTTCAAAATAATTTCAATATCAGTCCTTGGGAGACTGCTGAGAGAAGGATGGAGAACTGTGATTCATGATGCTGATGTTTAAATGATAATAGTAGCTGTAGATGAGCTTATTCATATTTTGCATCCTTTGTGGTTTGGTCCCAAGATTTAATTTCTTAAATCAGCACACTTCCATAGAGGTCTTTGATCCAGCTGCTGTATTAGGACTGTACAGCCTCTGATTAGGGCTGTAATTTGCTGCGGGGCAGCTGATGCAATTTACTTTTGGTTCAGTCTATTTATTTATGTATTTATTTAAAAGATTTATATGCCCGCCCATTTGAAGCAACTTTGGGCGGCTCACGACAATAATAAAACCAATAAATAAAACAATAATAAAACAGTAAAAACAGTGAAACAATAAAACAAAATCCCTGCGCTGTAATCATTTCCTTGGGACGCCCCACGGCAGGCTCAGCTGCCCTCCTTCCTATACAATCCTATCCCAGCACCTCTATAAAAAGCCAGGTCTTCACGGCCTTCGGAAAGGCTGGAAGGGTGGAAGGGTCTTCCACAAGATGGGGTGGTCATTCTTCCGAGGTCCCACTAGGTGGCAGGATTTCAGGGAGGGGACCTGGAGCGTGCCCACCCTATCTAATCTAGTGGGACTGGCAGATATTCTTGGGGAAAGGTGGTCCCACAAATAACCAAGTCCCATGCCATGTAGGGCTTTAAGGTGATATCCAGCATCTTGAATTGCAAACCTGGAAGAAAACAGGGAGCCAGTGCAGTTCGTGCAATAAAGGCGTAACATGAGCGATCCTATGGACACCCAATACTGTGTGCGCTGCTGCATTCTGGACCGGTTGCAATTTAAGGCAAATGATTTCTCTCTCATTTCTCATCCTGCAACACTGGAGCTCCACAGAACTTGGGGCTGTCCTGTTTTTCTCAGGGGGAGATAATTTCCCCAGTGCTCCACCCACTCCTTGGCTCCTCTCTCTCCCCGTCCTGAGCCAGCACGACAGCCCTGTGTCTTTGCACAGGCTGGCTTTCTAGCTGTAGCTCAAGAGGCCTGCTTGTTTTCTTCATTTGCATAAGCAATGATCAGACAAAGACAGGGATGGCTGCAACAGCTGGCATGCCAGTTTTGGCACTCTCCCAGCGTTAAGCAGGAGGGAGCACTGATTAGTTCACGAGTTCCTGGCAGATGCCACAAGGACAAGTGTGGGCTGTGGTAAAAATGGTTTAGAGATATTGGGGAGCATTTGAGAAGTCACAATGGTAACTGGGTGGAGTTGTCTCCCAAGAACTAGAACAAAATCGACTACTAGTCTTGATTAATAGAGATAGTCCTTGTTTTCTGGAATCTTTTCTTGGGAAGGTGAAATTTCCCCAGCTTGGAGAAAATGAATGGGCAGAATCTCACTACTTAATTTCTGTGGTTTAAAGGCAACTGTTAAAAACTTGGTAACTCCAAACCCTTCCTCAAAGGGTTAATAAAGCCAGATTTCCTTTCTAATGGATTTTTTTCTTAAATCACGAACAGTAACTTCACCAGGATTTAGCCTGAGATTAGCTGTCTACCTAACTTTTTTTTTTTTAAAGAAAGCATCCTGTTTCTGATGAAACAATCAGAAATCAGTTGACCTGCAGAAAAGATGAAGTATGCAGCTGAGCTCCTTTCATGCAAAAGGAGAAAAATGAATAAGTGAAGAATGATCTGAGACAGCTGATGCAAAAAAATTCAGGTGTGACAAAGCTTGAACAACAGAAGACAAATGAGGGCAGCGTAACCAGATCGCTCAGCCTGGATGTAATACATGAGAAATAGGAAGAAAACAAAGACATTTCCACACCCCCACTGCTTCCACTCCTCAGTTCCTCAAAAGCAAGTTGAAGATGACCTGCAATGGTCTTCTCTTCTGCCAACTGCACAAAGTTAAGAATGAGGGGCAAAGAAGCACCGTTTTGCCATGAGTTGCCACAGAACCTCAGCCTCCATTCCACACCTCTTTCTGTTCATAATTGTCTTTCATGTTGTGTGCATTTCTCTGGTTGTAGGCCCTCCACAAAAAAATCCTAGTGGTTCCTATGAGGAGGACCTGCAAAGATGTCAAACCCCCTTTAGAAACCTGTTAAGATGAAGCCCAGGGGTCAGAGTGAAGCAAGAGTTCTTGCAAATTAAAAATGGATCTCTTGTAAGTTCCACAGACCAGGAATATTTTGAAGGAAAAAATAGTAGTTTTACTGGAGTTTGAAAGAACGCCACTGCTGAGCCAGAAATAAAGTCAACTCTCAAACACAGCTGATCTTGGGAGATTGAGAAGGTCCATAGTTGCTTTCAAACTGATGCAGACCCATTATGTGTAAATGCGCTAAGTTTATAGAACAGGACCTGTAATGTGGGAGGAGGACTGCAGTTAGGTGCAAAAAACAGTAAATTTGTTTAATCCATCCTCTCTACAAATATAAGCATCAACTCCCAATACTTTTCCACATACGTGGAAGATATGCAATCCTCACCCCAAGCTCTTATACCACTTCGGCAAAGACATTTGTTCTATCTTGAATGGTGATTCTTGCAGTGAACCAAGGCCACGCTGGCTGGAAAAGATGCGAGTCATCAGCCCACATACTTTCTTACAGTGCAGGTTACTCACAGGGAAAGGGTGTTAGTGCTCTCTTTTGGAGTACAGGTAAGGTCAAAATGGGGAACAATGACCTTGTGTCTGATCTCCACAACAACCTTGTTTGGACAGCTTTAGCAAAAATTAATTCATGGAGGGCAAGGTATAATGGCCACATGGTTTTTCCACCTCCAGAGGAGCATATCCAGGAGCTTTGACCACATGGCTGTGGCCACCCCCTTGACTTTTTTTACCACCTCCTGTGGACACCCCTGAGCACATCTCTGAATATATAGTACTAAGAACAATTAGGGGAGGTTGCTAGCTTCCTCCTCTGCTGGTGAACCTTCAGTGAATATCTGGCTGGTCATTGCTGAAACTGAAACATGCCAGAATGTCCAAGACTTGAGTCTGATCCAGCAGGGATCTGGTTTACTTTGGCCCATATTTTGTCTATCCTTCATTGTGCTGGGCTGTCGCTGTTGCACCAAGATGTGCCACTGCTGCTCCTACTTTACCACACTCAGTGACCAAGGGTGGATTTCCAAGTCGTGTAGCAGAATGAATGTTGACTAAACTAAGCACTGGGAAAAGGAAGGTAGGTGACTTCCCTCACTGCGATGCTAGCAGTGGCTTTTCCAGGGAAAAGGTGGCTTTGGGAAAGGTGGCCTAGGGAGGTGCGCATCAAGGCCACTCCCTTTCCCACCTACTGTGGGCCTCTGCCTTATTTCCTTCTCTGCATTATTGAATGGTGGCTATTAGCCACGCCCCTTTTTCTGAGCCCCCATCTTGGTTTTGTGAACCTCCTTGTAGATGTCCCTCCATCTTTCTCCACAAAAAACATATATGTATTAATATAAAGTTGTATTCATTTTATATCAGAGACATTCAGGTTAAAAAAAAATCCATACATAACAAAAAATGACACAAGGGAAATTTGCATTAAAAAGGAATTTATAAAAGCTTTATAAGTTAGGGAAATTTGTGAACAAAAACAATTGCACAATTTTTAATGGATTGTTTTTTTAAAAAATGGTAACCCACCAATTCCAATGAATGATAATAATATCCAACGTTGTGATCTTAATAAATCTAATCTATTTGTTAATCTGAGACAGAAATGTTCAGAGAGAGAACACTGTAGGAAGATAAGCTACAAGGAAGTAGAAAGTTTAACATCCTAAGCCAGCTGTTGACATGTTTTCTACACAACTGGAATGTATTTCAATTTAAACATATAGTTCTGCTCTTTATGTTTATTTTGACCCTAACAAAATCAATGCCTCTACATCATGAGGTATGTATCTGAAATCTCCTGAAATAAAGAGGATGTTGTGAGCATGAATAAAAGCCCAGTTTTTATTTACGTTGGTTTTACAATGTTGAATGGTTGAGGGATCCTTTCTAAGCACCCCCTACAACAATCCTACGACTGATGGCTCCAGGTAGCGTGTAGATGAAGAGTACTAAGAAGATAACTAAGATAATTAAGATTAGCCCAATAATGATGTATTTCTTGTAATTTCTCCAGATCAGATGATACAAACACTTGAAAGGATTCACAAACCAGGAGAAGGATGTGTCGGGCCGGCTAGAAAAGAGAGAGAAATGAAGAGAAAACTTAGTAGCATTACTAGAAAGATGAATATGTAAAAAGCGAGTATATCATCATCTGAATATTTAGCTGAAAATTGTGTGTGTGTGTGTGTGTGTGTACACACACACACACACACACACACACAGGGTATATGAAAAGTCAGGCTCCATGGACAATTTATTATATAACTCATATTAAATGTTCAAATTGGTTGCCATTTTCTTCTAAAAACTACCTTACTTGTTTGATGCATGACTTTTGTACGATGAAATATTACTAAATACAGTCATATTTTCTCTGATATATTAATTCATAAAATATATTGTGATTGGTCCATGGGCTTGACTACATATTATCTCACAATATAATGCTGCAGTATTATATGCATTAAATCTCCTAGCTACGAAATTATACCAAGCAATTAGTTGATAGAAAAATTACACAATGAAATAATTATTTGGTGCAGCAGAAAATGGAAGCTATGGGATGAAACTTAGGATCAGTTCACTCATTATTACTACAGGTAGTCCTTGCTTAATGACCATTTAACGAAGGTCTGGAGTTAAAATGGCCTTGGGAAAAGTTCTTTATGACTCCCATGGTCATGTGATCGCAATTTGTGACCTTTTTTACAATGGTTGTTAAGCGAATCACTTGGTCGTTAAGCAAATTCTGGCAAAAAAGTCCATTGGGGAAGCTGGATTCAGTTAACGACAATGTGATTTGCTTAACAGCCATCATAAAAAAGGTAGCTTAATGACCGCAGTGATTTGCTTAACAACCATTGTAAAAAAGGTCATGAAATCAGCTCTGATTCATCTAACAACCAAATCGCTTAGTGACCTAAATTCTGGTCCCTATCATGGTCAGATAGTAAGGACTACTTGTATGGTGGTGTACCTCTTTAGTATAAATTTGTCTGCCCAATCCAAATAGCTGGGGAATGCCTGCTTGAAGGTCCTGCCTACCAAGAAATATGGTAGGAGAAGCCCCAAAATGGACATTCTTTTTGGGAGCTCCTGTTCTCTGGAATAGCTCAGCTCCCACTCTTAGAGCCTTCCAGAAATTTGCAAAAACACAGCTGTTCTGGAAGGCCTTTGGGTCCTGATTGGTGAGAATCATTGCAGTCAGGTATGTCAATGTGAAATGGTTATTGTCATATTTACTTCTGATATTATTCTATTTCTGTATTTATTCTTGCCTTGGCTTCTTCTTGTTGCTCTTAGAAGACTGAGGCAGCTTAAGATGTTATCAGTAAATAGAAACAGTGACATAAGTTGAAGCATAACCATGGCACATTCTCATTCCATGTCATTCCTATAAACCGAATTACTAATGTAATGTGGGGCTTGATCATGTAATAACAGTTCTTGTATTAACAGTAGTTAACCCTACAAGACCTATTGTTAATTTGCATGTGATTCCGAAGTGGATAAATTCCATCTGAGAATATAGATTCTGTTTAGGTAAACTCATTGCCAAACATGCCTAATACATCTAGTTGAACGTATTTTTTGGATCCTACAGCCAGGCTTCAGGATGTCTGAAGAGCTTCAGAATGACTGAGCAGGGATATTAATAAATTAATAAATGTGGGTAACCACCCTTTCTCTACTTGCCGAGCTGTTCCTACAAATCTGCTCACCCTATTAACATTATGGAGCTAGGGTCTTTCCAACTGATAGTTCACAAATGAAGCTAAATGTAAGGCAGATGGTCAGCATTCTTGGAAAATAACCATCGTTCTAATGTCCTGATGAGGAGATTAAATAATAGATTACAGTAAGTAATGGCTTTGTTTCTCATTTTTGCTGATTTAGTATTTTGTGTCTGATAAATACATTATAAAAACTGCCACTCTGTCAAGGACAAACCTGGAGGATGGGAGACTTGAGGATGGATATAAAACTGGCTGCAAGAGCATTTTCTCACCTGTCCAGGTATAATAAAACTGGGATAAAGTGTTGTCACTTACTTGGGTTTCTCCAAAGGTTCTGGCTCCTTCCGAGCTTTGCCGACTGGATTTTTTTCAGCTTCCTCGGATGTGACTAAATGAAATTCAGCTTCCACTTTGCCCTAGATTGAAAAGAAGATGAATTTTTGGTTCAAAGTATTTAAGCAACCCATAATGAATGCTTTAGTCATTGGTGCCTTTGACCAATTCATTCAGATGTCCTGCTAGAACGTCTATAGAATGACCAAAAAATTAAAGTATATGAAATAATAATAATTAGATTTTTCCTTTTTATGTATAACTCCATGCCTAATATTCCAGACTCCTATTTTCCCCGCAGACATGGGGAGAACTTACTTCTGGTAGCTAGATGTATGAAAGGGAGGGGTCTTTTCACTACAGTCCCAGTGATGTACCTTCTTCCCATCCCTGAGACAGGAGAAAAGTGGGAAAATGCTACCCCCACAGCAGTCCTTTTGCCATGCAAAAAAAAAAATAAAATGAAAAGTTTGTGTGTGTGCGTGCATGTGCTTTATGACTATGGGCACAGAGAGCCCAGTGGTTGGATGGGCGGTCCTGCAACAGGCCAGTTAGAGCTCTTGATTACCCTAAGGCTCCTCCTCCACATGCATTGGAATGTTCCATCTGGAGGGGATTTACTGTTTTCCTCTGGAAAATATTAATTTTCTACTGGATCACCCCAATCTGTCTTCACCCTATCTTAGTGAGCACATGTCCTCAGAGATCAGTTAGCAGGCCATCGAGCCATCAGATCCAAGGTAAAGGGCTCTGTGGATGACTCCAGAAAAAGAGAGGGAGCCCTCTACAGATAACAACACCCATCCAACCTTGCCTGACCTCAGAAGCTAAGCTGGGCTGGCCCTGGTTACTACTTGGATGGGGGACTTCTTGGGAATTCCAGAGCTAGAAGTTGGAGTGAGAAATGAGATCAAAGTCCCAGAAGAAAGGAATACCAAACCACTTCTCTAATGCTGCCAAGGAAACTGAATGGAGATGAAGTTGCAGAGAGCCAGGGAGATGGCCTTGAAGCAAATATTCAGAACCTGTTATGTAAACAAAAAGGTCAGAAGCATTTCTGAGTCCTGGGAACAGAGATAGCATTAAGAAGAGACTCAGGCCAGCTCCTCCCTGACTTATTGAGGTATGAGAGGGAGGGAAGGAAAAGCATAATCAGACTTGCAAGATTCTATCTCAATAGCCTATCTCAGTGTTTCTCAACCTCAGCAACTTTAAGATGGGTGGACCTCAACTCTCAGAATTCCCCAGCCAGCATGGCTGGCTG